GCTTTTTTTCTGTATCAGATTAAAGATAGGTAAAGTATTCATCGAAAGAATATGAAAACAGTCAATAGATAGCTGATCGTTTAAGTATCAAATTATCGCCGGTTGATTGCTAGTATACCGGCAGCAATTTGGCACTAGCGGTGAATACTGCCGGTATAACGCGCATGATACCGAACGATCTACCGATCGTTTTTGTTCGATCTGAATCACATGAATATCTCTATAGTACAGCAACATGCCTGATTCCGAATTCGCTTTTTGGCCACGAAGACGCCTAAAAGAATGACCACAGACTAACTTGTTTGTTACTAAGCGCGATCTCTTTTCTTTTATATCTTTTTCTCAATCGTCTTGCTCAGACATCCTAGTAAGACGATTGAGAAAGAAAGATGAAAGAAAAGAGATCGCACTTAGAAATAAACAACCTAGTCAGTGGTTTCTTTTACGCATGTTCATGATCAACAAGCGAATTTGAAATAAGGCTCATTATTGTATTTTCATTTCAACGTGAAGATTATTGTTTCGAAATCGATATCATATCCTGCTGATCTTTCCTTCCATTTTCCTCTTTATCTTATCTCTATTGTTCTTTCTTGTGTTGATCTCTTTCTCTCTGATATGTAGGCATGTATTGTATGTGAAATAGCTCAATAAACATCATTACCGAGGATGGTGGTAAGCTACTCTTTCAGTTTGCCGTTACAACTCTATAATGAAAAAGTAGCATAAAAACTAATGCAGGATTGAATATATTGAAGTTCCACATTATTAGCAGAAAAAAACAAGTCGAACAGTGATCCAAGAAAAAATGAACTATATTTTTTAATCATCTCGCAAATGAATAAACCATGCTGGCTAAATAAAATCGATTGAAGTATAAGGTTCTGTTTGTCTTCTTTGTCAATGTTAAAATACTTTGATATTTATCGTCGCGATGGAAAGATCTTTGTGTTTCATCTTTGCATCCGTTGATTTCGTTCAGAGATAGACGAATAAATAGATGATGCGTCAAAGCTGAGAATATTTCATTTTATTCTTTCTCCCTTTCTACAGTGCAATTAATTTCATATATTTTGCGTTAGTCGATATTTCCAACCAATCATATGATTTGTTAAGTTTTCTATACAATGCATCGTATGACAGCTTTATAATCTACTCAAAAATAGCATGTCCTTATCAAAGAGGAAAATTCAAATATAAATTTTATAATGGAGAAATTGAAATTTTTAAAAAAATGTGTTTTTATGAGTTTTACTAGTCCGATCTCAGTTCACAGTGTTCTTTAAAGTATCATTAGTCGTTATCTCTTTAGAATATTGTTACATTGTCATCCTCAGAGAATATTTTGAGTTTATAAAAGTTTATTTTAATGACTCAATCTGTTAACGTACATGTTGAAATTTATATTTTTTCAAGTTTTTTCTCTTCATTTCTATTTTATTCATCTACGTATTATTTATATTAACTTTATTCATTCGTTTAGGTGAATCATCCATGCAATTATGTATTCTATGTATAGCTGTATCATTTTTTCTCTTTCACTTTAGTAGCAATCGATGTTTTCATCGTAGCCTTTTTATGTTTATTTATGCATAGTTTGACATATTTTTGTTTGCAATTTATTGCATTTTGTTTTTCGTATAGTCAATGAGGCGTTAATACAGGTGCTAAATCGGCAACCTAAACGGGTAGTTGAACACGAGTCAGTCTTGAAATTTTTGGTGCTTTCATCGAAATCTTTTACTTTGACATGAGCAATACAGATACATGTGCAGCAATTGAACGTTACTGATAATGTCTGTCTTTCATCTTTCTATTTATTATTTAGAGAAAAATAGTTAGTTATCATTAATCAGTTTCAATTATATATATCTGTGGTATTTGATAAGTTTCGAACTCATTTTGATTTTGTTTTTGTATTTTTCGAATATACAAGGTTGAACAGACATAGAAAATATATGTTTAAAAGTAGCATCTAAGTTATCATTCAAAGTTTTTTTGTACTTAATTGATATCCTGATTAAGGGGAGAGGTTATTAATGAATTTTATCAAATTTTTTTTTCACTCTTTTTTATTATATTTTTATCTTAGCCATGTATGAAAACTAAGTCTAAACTTATCTAATCATTAGACTCGATAATAACACAATGATAAAAATGACTTACAATGAGTGCACGACTGATATTTTTCTTATCCTAACAAAAAAAAAAGAGTAGGAAAAAGAAATTTGATAAAAATATATTTTGGCATGTTTTCTAATAATGCACTCTTTAAATAATGATGTCAATTGAGTATAGTAAATTTTCGATGATAATTCAAATGTTACAAATTTATTTTTTCTATGTCTATCCAATTTTATATATTAGAAAAATACAAAAATAAAAAATCAACATGATTCAAAATCTATCAAATAATCTTTTTAATCTGTTTCTCTTATTATATTCATCTTATTCTTTCTCAGATCTGTACAACTTGTTTTAATAATATAACTTGATATGAAACTGAGTTAACACAATGTGATAAGTATATTATGATGAATTTTGACTAAACAGAATAATCTGACACATCTTTCCTCAGAGAAACAGTCTTCGACATTTATAAAAAGTGTTCGATTTACGAAAGAAAAACATTTTTATGCTCAATTTTTCAAAAAAACATGCAAAAACTCTGAAAGAAATTCCTATCAGCTGGTAAAGAATCCTTTACCAGATTGAAACGGTTGTTATCGTCATCGGTTACAACTCGAATGCAAGATGTAACTATTGTTATTCGTGTCAGTGTGTGTGTAAGTTTGGCTATGGCTCTAATTGTCACTATCAGTAAGGCTGTGGTTGTAGTTATAAGCCAAGTGAAAACCTATACTCGATTCTAACAATATAGTTAGTATTTCGATTCTATCTAATCTTGATTGTTAAAAAACGGCTTTCACTTGATGATTGTATTTTTCTACTAGCTGACGGTGGTTTGATAATAGACTGAAAATTTATTAACCAAATGATGTAGCATAAAATTTTGCCTTGGCTGCTGTGACTTTCTTCGAAACCTAGAAAAATCTCTTGGTTAGAAAATGCGAAAATATTGAAGTGTCTTAAAATTTTGTCCACTACTTTACGTTGTAATATTCTCGATCTTAATCATGTGATCTTCCAATTCCAAACTTTACCATGTCTTCATCGTTCTCATTCTTCTACATTTTTTTCTACGCCTGAATAAATAAAAAAGACAGTAATAACGATAGCAACAAAGAGAAAAGTAGATAGCTGACAGTAGCCAGTTTTATCTTATCAGTAGAAACGTATATCTGGGTTTTTACTTTATATTCGATAGAAACATGTTTATTAGTACCACAAAAGGTTTCATTACACGTCCACAAACAACTTGGATTATATTTCAATTCAAAAAACGACATAATTCAACAACACCATCAACAAAATTAACTTCAAGTTATTTTCATCATGTTTCATCACTTCCATTTGTGTATAAAACAATAAGTCAAAGTTTTGATGAAACAGCTACGAAATACCCTGATCATGAATGTTATGTTTTTAAAAGTATATCAATCAAATAATTATCAAAATTCATATTTATAAGATAAAGTGTTTTAGGTGAACAAAAACGATATACATTTAAATCATTCAAAAATGAAGTTGATAGTTTAGCTGCATCTCTTATGGAATTAGGCTTTGAAAAAGGTGATCGATTTGCTGTTTGGTTGCCAAATACATCAGAAAATGTTGCAATGTCATTTGCTGCATCCAAATTAGGTCTTATCAAAGTAAAGTTTGATTTTATTTTCAAATATTCTTTATGATAATTATTATTGTAGGTTAATATAAATCCAGCTTATGTTGGACGTGAACTTGAATATTGTATAAACAAAGTTGGATGTAAAGGTATTATACTTTCACCAACAGTTAAAATCATTGAATCATTATCATTATTTCGTCGACTTGTACCAGAACTTGATCAACATTCAATATCTCGAGAACTTTCATCAAAAACATTACCAACATTAAAACATGTTATTCTAACTGGTAAACAATCATCTATATCTGGAGTTCGTTTATATGATGATTTAATTGAACGTGGTACAAAATTATCACATAAAAAATTAAATGAACGACAAGCATCTGTTAATCCTGATTCACCTGTTACAATATTTTATACATCAGGTACAACAGGTCAACCAAAAGCAGCAACATTAACCAACTTTGGTATGCTCAATTTAGTTCATGCTCAATGGGAACATCTTGGACGTTACTTTACTCGTCTTTGTGTCCCTATTCCATTCTTTCATATTTTTGCAGAAGTTGTCGGTATACTTAATGTTGCTGTAGCAAAATGTAAAATTGTTGTTCCAGCTATTTTACCTGATACAGTTTCAACAATGAAAGCCATACATGAAGAAAAATGTACAGCACTTATTGGTGCACCAATTATCTTTCGAGATATTTTAACACATCCAGATCGAAAAAAATATGATTTAAGTTCATTAATCTTTGCTATACTTGGTGCCAGCCCTATACATATTGATTTTTTATGTCAGTTAGAAAAAGAATTTCCAATTACACGTGTTGCTCAAGGCTATGGAATGACAGAAAATTCTGCAATACTTACAAGTGGTATGTGGGCTGGTGATGAAGATCCAAAACGTCGTCTAGGATCTCTTGGACGATGTATGCAACGTTTAGAAATTAAAGTTGCTGATCGAGAAGGAAATTCTCTACCTATTGGACAACAAGGAGAAATTTGGGCAAGAGGTTATCCAATTATGATTGGATATTATGGCGATCCAGAGAAAACAAAAGAAGCATTAACATCATCAGGATGGCTTCGAACAGGTGATCAAGCAACTATGGATGAAGATGGTTATCTTTATTTTGTTGGACGTCAAAAAGAAATAATTATTCGTGGTGGTATTAATATTTATCCAATTGAAGTTGAAAATGCAATAACTGAACATCCAAGTGTTGCTGAAGCACAAGTTTTTTCTATTCCTGATGAACGTCATGGTGAAGAAGTATGTGTATGGATTAAACTAAAATCAGATGCACCTTCATGTCAAACAGATGATATTACAAAATTTCTTGCTGATAAATTAGCATTTTTTAAAATTCCAAAACATATTCGATTTGTTGATAAATTTATTATGACACCAACAGGAAAAGTACAAAAGTTTAAATTATCTGAATCAATGGTCAATGAATTGAAAGAAGCAAAAAAATAAACAATACATGTTCTTTTTTTTTTAATTTGTTTTATTTATTATATGTAGTTTGATGATTTTTTCGCTTTTTTTCTGTATCAGATTAAAGATAGGTAAAGTATTCATCGAAA